TATGTAGCCAGCAGCCGCCGTGAGTGGCTGTCCAGAAGCCGGCGACTGATCTGCCTCGCCCAGGAAGAGTGCAATGATGGTGCCAACTTGGGCCAGTGAAGCAATGTCCTCCAGAACTAGACTGAAGAACAAAAGGACAGCAACTTGTCTGTTCCCCTTCCCTCAATTCCCCAGTAAAAAAATCTTAAAAAAAAAGAACTGGCATGGGATGCCAGAAGGCCCCGGTTCGGATCCCACATACGAGAGGGCCAGTGTCACTGCCCTCTGCATCTAAGATGGTGAACAGCAGCTCGACCTGGGACTGGGCTGCCATAGGGCAACGGCGATGGCATAGGCTGCAGTCCCCTGCTGCAGTGGGCTGCCATAAGCTACTGTGTGTAGCCGGCAGCCAGCGTGAGCGGCCATCCAGAAGCTGGCAACTAATCTGCCTCACCCGGGAAGAGCGCAATGATGGTGCCAGCTTGGGCCAGTGAAGCAGCATCCTCCACAACTAGACTGAAGAACAAAGCAACGGCAACTTGTCTGTTTCCCTTCCCCCAATTCCCCAGTGCTATTCCCCTCCCCCAATTCCCCAATAAAATCTTTTTAAAAAAAAGAAGCATACATGTAATAATGGAAACAGTGCTACACCAAGAGGAGACAGTACAAGAATAGGAATTAATCATGAAAGGCTTCCTGAAGGAAGTGGTATTTTATTTTAAGCTGAATTTTTAAATGGTGAGTTTATTGCAGAAAGAAGATATTTCAGATTCAGAGATGGAATAAAAACAGACAACATTTTTAAATCACAAGATAAAATTGTATTAAAGAACTCTAAAATTATATATGATTTGCTTTAATATCCATAACCTAAAACTAGTGAAGTATAGTGGTTAAGTGTGTCGGCAAACCAACCTTAGGACTGCGCCTAGGGATATTTAAAGTACAGTAACAAAAAGCCTTCATCTTCTCTCTGCCAGGGTAAGCCCTCCTTAGGTAATATCTTAAGTATGACATAATGCTCTGTGTAACAGTGAGTTCTTATTTTGTAACCTACAATTTTGCAACGCCTGAATCACAGGTCAAAGGAAATCTTAGGTCAGGATAAAATGATCCATCTTCTTTCTAGATTAAAGCTAATTACTGTTTTGTTTTTGGTGGGGTTTTTTTGAAAGGTTTGGATTTTTTTTTTCTACAAAAGGTTTGGATTTTAAGATTTATGTATGTTTCCTGAAGTGTTGGAGACTCTTGAGAAGGTGTTTTTGGTTTACTTTATGCTTTTTGAACAAAATGAGAAAGACTGGTGGCTCAGTTGAAGCTGTTGTGATATCTTTTTATAGAGATGTGTGAGCCAAAGAAAAGTAATTGAAATTTAAGTATGAGACATATTTCAAAGACTAAGGCACGTGATGCATTCTGGAATTAGTTCCATTTACTGCTTAGTGGCTTATTCATTTTGTAAATTGGTCTTTTTGTGCCCTGAAAAGGAAAACTAACAAACCAGTCCAACAAACATTTCTTATTTCGTGTTTGATGTTCTCCGATTATTTGTGATTTTCCTCCTTTTGTCTCCTCAAAATGATATAACAGATCATTTGAAGAAACTGAAGTGACCAAAAAGATTAGGAAGACTTTTTCCCCCGCCATAAATTTTAACATATGTTCCCATCTCTACCAAAATAGGTCTATAAACCTTAGAGAGAGAAAATTATGTTAACACATTCTATTAGGACTGGCATAATCTTAGCTTCTCTGTGCCTCAGTTTCCTCATCTTAAAATAGGACTAATAAAATAGCTGCCTCATGGACAAAATGTAAAGCACTTAGAGTAGTGCCTAGACTGTATTAAGTGGTAAATAAATACTAGCTTCTGTCTGAAATAACAGCTGGCATTACAGTGGGAGCAGCAGTTTTACGAAAAAAATTTTCAAATAGCATAACTGTACTTTGAAAAATCCATTGCCATATATGTTTACTTTTAATAAACTAATCACTTTGTAATCTCAACAAAAATATAAAAATGGAAAATTAGAGAAATAAGCATTCTCCAGGTATATATAGACATAGGTTGTGGTTATATTAAAATGTACAATAGATTGGCTGCATTTGTAGTCGTCGTCCTAAAGGGAACCTTCAGGTAAGAGCAGGAGCATCTGTTATTTGCAAAAGGCATTTGCTTCTTATCCACAGGGCATGTGTGGAGATCACAAGTGCATTTTAGACTTGAGGGGTTTAGATGTGGGATTACCAATATGAATTGTCTCCTTCTTGTAGGAGTAATTTAAATGAGGAATGTATTGAGGACATTGGAGATAACTTGATGCCCTGCTTATGATCTCAAGCTTTTTACTGAATTATTTATTACTGCATTGTATTAGCTATTTTGCTTCTTGATAGATCATTTTACACCACAATATTGCTGCTGCCTAAGGAAAAAAAATGTCTCTTCAGCGGTACTAATGACCTCTAAAAAGGTAATTTGATTCTTAAGGTAGGACATTGACTTGCCCTGGTGGTTACAAGAAATTTTCTCTGTGTTATCAAGGTTATTTTTTTTCCCCTCACAATCACAGATATTGAGTGCAAACTTGCTTTTCACCTTCTGTACTTAGTAGGTTTCTTCCAGAAATTATATCTCTAGCATTTATTAACTTTATCCTTAATTGTGTATGTTTTGGTCAGTTCAGTTTGATAAATAAGAGAGAGAGGGGTTTTTTTAAAAACAAGCGAAAATTCATGTTGTCTCTATAAAAGTAAATTTGTTAACACCATTGTTTATATTCTTGTTACTCAAAATGAACATTTCTGAAATTAACCTAATGGATACTTTGTTTTCTTTTTTTGTGTGTGTGTGTGGACTGTCAGTGCCAGATCATGGGTGGTATTGGGCAGGCGGGTAGGACTGATTGAGAGGGAACAACCCAGATGCCTAAAGCAGCACCAGGCTTTAAGAGACAGTGGTGGATGGGTAAAAGCTGTCTTTTAGAAGCCTCTGGGGCAAAATATTCTAGATTCATAGTCAGAATCTAGAACATTGGCCCAAGCCAGAGGATGCATGTAAGATAAGGAGTAGGAGTTGAAAACGTAAATACCTGTAGAAGCTGGCAAATAATGTAAATGAATAAGGCAGCAGGTGGCAGTGTGGCCTGGCTAGTCCCTGCTCCTCTTAGATTCAACCATTCATTGCTATATGGGGACGTGGACCCAGATTTTCATGTAAAATCATGTGTTTAAATGGTAGTAAATAATTTTTCCTAATATATTGCAGGCCAAACTTGGCCAACAGAGTACAAGTTTGTGGCTAGTATCTTGTAAAGAGGCTCTTTTCAGTTACATAATAATTAGATACTCTAGGTAATTTTATACCAGTAAACTCCCTGGGAGAAAAAAATGAAAGAAAGAAAAGCCTTCCCTGTGTCTCCCATCTGATTTTCTAATATATCTTTACTTACTGGCTTCTCTGTAAAAAATTGAGTTTTGTTTAGGGGAATTCGAACTGTATTTTAATTTTTTTTTTTTTGTTAGTTTCGTTACCTGCAGCAGTCTGTCTGTATTTCTGTGCAGTTCCAATGATCTGTTTCTGTTTAGCTTGGAGTTTTATTTATAATGTATCAAATTTAGTTTAGGTACATTAGTGAATAGGAGTACTTATCTTTTATGTATATAGTCCTTCTCTGTTGTTCAATGTTCTTGATGATAGCTGTCACTCCTATAAGTAGTACTAGTGATTTTTTTTAAAGTCAGCTTGTGATTTTTTTAATTTCTTAATTTTTCCAACTTATCGTGATCTTTTAAAAAATACAGAAAAACTGAAGAATAGTAAAATGATCACTCGTATACCTACCACCTACATTCACCTGTTAACCATGTAAATGAGTTGCAGACATCATGCTATTTTACTGCTCTATACTTGAGCATGCACCTCCTAAAAATAAAAGAAATTCCATAGTCACAGTGCCATCTTATAAGTTTGTACGTGACTGTATGTATATGTATGCACACTCTGTGTATGTTCTGGGCAGGCACTCGGGTGTGCCCAAGAGATGCTCATGAATTTAAAGAGACAAAGTAAGACCTTCTTCTGTCTTTTGTTGAGTTTTTGCTAAAGCAGAAGTGAAGGCTATATTAGATCTGGGTCAGAGCAGATAGGATCTTTATTGCTACAGTCCCTGGACAGCATCCATCCAACTGCCTTCAAAAACAGGAGTTTGCTTTCACAACAGGGCTCACAAAGATAAGGCGACTATGCTAGTTGAGATGGCACTCTCTTAAATCTGCTAGCCTCTGGCTGGGGTAACAGATGCTACTGGAAATAAGTCCCTCTGCTCCTGGTTTGGATCTCTAGGTAAATGACAGTGTGTACCTAGGCAAAGGCCCAGAGAGATGCCAGATTTACTATAGAATTTCAGTAGGAAGTCTGATATTTGGTCATTTGTTAATGTGTACCCGTGACCCATTTTTACTATGATGAAAACTGAAAATCTAGCACTGGAGTAGATTAACTTAAAATTTTCAGAATTTGAATGGAATGTCTTATATTTAGCAAGTTTTTGCATATGCATGTCAATAATGCTACTCTATTTTGCCTGCCCGATCTGTAAAAGGAGTACAGATACAAAGGTGGATTTTGTGTCAGTGTAAACAGGAGTTTTATTATTGAGATTTTCCCAACTTCACCCTAGAGTTGTTATAAAAAATGTCTCCATTTAATTATACTTTATACGCTTATGTGGAAGATTTCCAGTATTATGATTGCCTTTTTCACACCTTTTAAAATATTATTTTCCTCTATTATGGTTTTTTTTCCCATTAGGTGTATTGACTGAAGTTTAATGAGAAGAATCGTGACTGGTTAGAATTTTCTGCAAGGAATGGAATTAGCTCATAGCTTATTGCTGAATGAAGAAGCATACAATCAACTAGGCGAAGTACAGAAGGCAGAGTTTATTTTTGATTGGTTGAGATATTTGGAGAAGCTCTTGCTAGCAACCAGCAAGGTAGGTAAAATTGCAACAACTGTTTTTTGTTTGTTTGTTTTTAAGTGCCAGGTAATGTTTAGTTCCTTGGTTTGCTTTTCTAGTTCTGTTTAGAATTACCTAAATTAGCTTTCAAATGTTAGACCTCATTAAGACTTTATAATGAAATGTTAGAAGAAGTTTGTTCCGTTCAAAAACGCAGGAAGAAATTGGCCAATATTTTTGATATTACTTAAAAATATATCAAAATCTAAACAAACTACATTGTGTTAGATTTTATTTTTATTATGTTCTGGACCTCATGTACCTCCATATGCATGAAGCCCTGGTGCAGGATAGTGCTAAATAATGTCATGGGAGTTTCACTTTAAAAAGAGGTGTGGACTCTTTAAGGGGAGTATGAACTGAACAGTGTTTGAATATTCCCTTTTAAAAGCTTGTGAAATGGGTTTAAAAAAGAAAAACTAATCACTCATACCCTTCATCTACATTCAGTAGTTGTTAACATTTTGCCATAGTTAATCGAGCGATTAATTACTGAACCATGTGAGGTGGTACTTTAACTTCTAAATACTTTTGCATACATTTCCCAAAAGAATATGCTCCTACATAATAACAATACCATATGTAATGCAAAATGGCACAAAGATACTGTTCATGGAGACATTTAGAATTTAACAAAAGACAAGAATCCATACACTAAATTAAATATTTCTTTGTAGAAGTTGAGGTCTTAGTGAGCACCTGAATACTATTACCATTGTAATGATAGTCTGTATTCCTTTTTCAGAGAGCGGACAAGTAAAATGCAGTAATATTAATGGCATTTAGATGCATAAGCTTGCGAAAAGAAAATTGCTCTAAACTTAGAAAAGACCTAGGTAAAATAGGTCATCATTACAAGCTCTGGTAATAGTTTATATGTCGCTGCATATGCAGATATATACGGGGTGGAGTCTTAATAACTAAGAGGCTCTATTTGAAATACAAATTCGCTCTACCTTTCAAACATAACAAGAAAAATATAAAAGAAATAGAGCTTTGTTCACAGACAGGCCAGTGTATTGTGGTCCAGAATATGTTTTGTGGAGATATCAGCAGGACAATATACTACCTGTTCAGGTGGTGTGATGACCATGCCACTAACTTACTTGTAACTTTTAGTCAGAATAATTTTGCGTTTTTCTAGAGCCTTTTACTTTTAGTTCTTAAAATGTATGAAAAAAACTGTGTTAGAGAATGACATGTGATTATGTTGACTTTAAATTGTCATTTTGTTACCTTCCTTTCTAGAGTGATATAAAAGAGAAACAGAAGAGGCTTGTTGAACAGCTCCTATCTTTGTTGAACAGCTCCCCGGGGCCACCTGCCCGCAAACTCCTTGCTAAGAATCTAGGCATTCTTTATAGTATCGGAGATACATTCTCTGTTTATGAGACAATCGATAAATGTAATGATCTTATTCGTAGTAAAGATGATTCTCCAAGTTATCTTCCCACTAAACTGTGAGTTAAATATTAAAGCTGAACATAAAACAAAATAGTGCTTCCTTGTTGCAATATTTTTATAAATAACCCAAACTATTTGATAATTATTTTGAAACTGAATACAAATTGTTTTATTCATTTTTAAAAATCTGACTTTTTAAAAATTATAACATTTTTCGCGTTGATCGAGAAACAGTTCTTTTAAAAAGTATTTTGGACATATTTGAAGTCTAGATTTGGGAATGAAAGCTGTCTCACTAAAATTTTAGCAGTTGAGTGTTTAAGAAAAAGGTATTTTAAATTCTTCATGTTTTAGATGTTCTTTTGGTTTATTAGTTATTAGTAGTGAAAATTAATTGTAAATAATATAAAAAAATAAATACTCTTGTAAGATCCTATAAATAACAGCAGTTTCTTTCTCCATAGGCTTCAGTTCATTTTATCATCTGTATTTTAGAGGAGTCCATTTGCGATGTATGATTCCACAATAGTGATTTTATAGAAATTTTTGTTGATCAAATTTTTAGCTTATAACAGAATGTATTTTCCAGTAGTTTTCAGACTTCAAGCTTGATGAGAACGTTATTTCTTGTTTTTCTTATCATTTATCTTTAAGACCATCTTTGATTATCTAATAAGTAAAAATTTTGAGGGAATGAAATCTTTGGGCTGAGAGTTAGATTAATTGAAGATATATCTTTTTAAAATTCTGGTTATTGAAAGTGTAATTATTTGATACTTAGGTGTCAAGCCTTAGAATTTAACAATGGAGTAGATTCTGGAAAATTTTATACTTTAAAAGTAAAATTAGTCACCTTTACATATTCTAAGTTTTCTTTATTCTTGTTTTTTCATTCATGGCTAATTTCTAATTTAAATGTTGTTACAGTGCTGCTGTGGTATGTTTGGGTTCCTTGTACAAGAAGTTGGGTAGAATACTGGCTAACACCTTTACTGATACAGTGGGGAATATTCTTAAAGCTATGAAGAGTGCAGAGGTAAGTAACAACAAGTTCGACCAAAGAATAAAAAGATAGTATTTTATAGGTTTTATGGTTTCTTTAGCGAATCAAAGAGTTTTACCTGTGACCAGCATACATAAGTATATATAGGTATAAATATATCCATAAATGAAATATTTCTGTGTGATTGCACATGTATATTGAATCTTGATTAGAAAAAGCTATCATGAATATTAGAATTTCATGTATTCAGACAAATCCAAATTGGCAAAAACAGGTATTTCTCTTATAGGCCCATCTCTGTTCCCTCTGCTCATATCAGCTTTTCCACCTGATTCTACTAAGTAGTGCCAGAGCAAGGGCTTGTTACCAAGGACCCAGATACATAATTGGTTACTATTGTATACCTAATGGATGGATTATTATTGTACCAGCATCAAAAGGCAGTAAGGATGTAATCAGGGTGGGAAAGAGCATCGAGGACCTAAGTATGATCAGGATCTGGACGACCTTTTAATGGCCAGGGGAGTGTTCTCAGCGTTAGCCTCACTCACTTGTTGGCATCATTTACCCCTGTGGAACACCCTTTGTTCTTGTAGCTGCCTCTTTGACTTCCAAGATACTATAACCTCTTGCAAACTGTAGCTTTAGCAATGAGCTTGAAATTAAAGCATTTGTATGTTTATACATCAAAAATTTAAATCTAGGGCTGGCCGAGTGGCGCATTGGTTAAGAATTGGCTTGGGAGTGCCAGCTCTGAGCAGCAGGGTCCTGGTTCAGATCCCACATGAGGGCCAGTGACGCTGCGCCCTCTAGAGCTAAGATGGTGAACAACAGCTCGACCTGGAGCTGGGCTGCTATGAGTTGCTGGCGATGGCTAGGCTGCAGCCCATGCTGCAGTGAGCTGCCGTGAGCCGCCATGAGCGGCTGTCCAATGGCCAGCGAGTGACTGCCTCACCCGGGAAGAGCGCAATGATAATACCAACATGGGCCAGTGAAGCGATGTCCTCCACAGCTAGACTAAAGAACAAAATGACAGCAACTTGTCTGTACCCCTCCCCCAATTTCCCAATTAAATCTTTAAAAAAAAAAAATTTAAATCTATGATCCCTAATATTCAAGGATACCTCAGCACCTTTAACCGTAAAAACAGCACACCAGTTCCTATTCTTACCTTACTTAGAAAAACAGTCTAGAGGACAGCTCTGAAATAATTATTAAAATGCTGTCTAGTTACATACATATTTTTTTTAAATGCACCAAGATAAAACATGGGAAAATTCAAATGTAAAAGGTGTTAAATTTCAGGAATGTAGCTGATTTAAAAACTTTAAGGTGAAGTAAAGTCCATAACAAAAACTGGTGAGAGAATCTACTCAGCAGATCACTTCTCAGCAGCAGTTTCCTGAATGATTGAAGAATGTGATTCAGGAGAAAGGATTGTTAACGTCTATAAATCTGCTTTTATTTAAAAAGAGATGTCTGGGGCCGGCCGAGTGGCGCATTGGTTAAGAGCTGGCTTGGGACGCCAGCTCTGAGCAGCAGGGCCTCAGTTCGGATCCCACTTGAGGGCCAGTGACACTGCCCTCTACAGCTAAGATGGTGAACAGCAGCTCAACCTGGAGCTGGCCTGCTTTGAGTTGCCGGTGACAGTGTAGGCTGCAACCCCTGCTACAGTGGGCTGCCATAAGCTACTGTGTGTGGCCAGCAGCCAGCGTGAGCAGCCGTCCAGAGGCTGGCGAGCGACTGCCTCACCTGGGAACATCGCAATGATCACAATACCAACATGGGCCAGTGAAGCAACATCCTCCACAACTAGACTGAAGATCAAAAGGACAACAACTTGTCTGTTCCCCTCCCCCCGATTCCCCAGTACTGTTCCCCTCCCCCAACTCCCCAATAAAATCTTTAAAAAAATAAATAAAATAAAAAATAGAAAGAGATGTCTTTAAGAACTTTTGCTCACTTAGGTATGGCCACTTTAACTCCATTGGTTAGGCTATGATACTTTTTAGGCCCCGTAGTTAACAAAGGATTACTCTGTAGGTCTTAGACATGTTAAGTTATTGCTAAGTATTTTATTGCTTTACTATTTTTTGCCTTTATGATTTAGTTGATCAGGTAGCACATTTATGAGATGTCAAAAAGGATTTTCACCTTTGATACATACCCACCAGTGATACACAACATTTGAAATTGGGATAAGAGGAAGTTCAGAAGTTCCCCATTAGGACACATATTGTTATGCCCTCTTGTAATTAGTCACTATTGTGTTCCTTTGAACAGAGATAAATTAACATTACTATGAAAATGATACTTGATGTTGATTTTTATCTTCCTCCAACTTATTTTTAGTGGCCTTAAGTTTCTGGGATATAGAAATCATTTGGAGCATTTAGTAAAATGTCAATACGAGCAGCTACTATTTCTTGAGAATTTATTATGTTTCAGGCTGTGGTGAATGTTTTCTCCACAGGGGCTTATTTACTTCTTACACTGGCTCTGCTTAGTTCATTTTATCCTCATTTTATAGATGAAGAAATAAGTAAGGACAACTTAAAGGCACATAGACACTAAGAGTCAGAACCAAGATCAAACCCAGGTGTTTTAAAACCTAAAGCCCAGATTTTTAACCAGTGAGTTAAACTTTGTGGACCAATGAATGATAAAATATTAATAGCTATAAAATCTATTGAGCATTTACTGTACTTCAGGCACTATTCTAAGCACTTTACATGTAGTAACTTTTTTGATCCTGGGAACAACCTGAGAGGTGGGTACTATTATCTCCATTTAACAGATAAAGAAATAGATTTGACTAAAGTCTGTAGATAGTAGGTGTCAGACCCTGCATCTTACCATGTTACCTTTTTTTTTTTTTAAAGATTTTTATTGGGGAATTGGGGGGTTGGCAACAGTGCCGGGGAATTGGGGGAAGGGGAACAGACAAGTTGCTGT